ACAATGATACTCGGACCACGACGTAACTTGAGGTATTTATTATAACGGCATAACTTAACATGGAGCTAGCCCGAGCGACAGCCTAAAGCTGGTTTCCCATAATGCCTCTGGGCATGACCGCTACGGGTCCTGTTATAACCCAAAATACACAACATGATCCATGCCCTCAGTAAATACTTTCCCGGTGAGTTATGAGATCAGTCCCTAGTTTCACTTCATAGAGAACAAAACATTATGCTCATTTTCTACATTATAGTCCCCATTAAGCTCCACAACAACAATAGTTGGTAGTAGTTACAATTAGTTGGTAGCCCATTACAGTTTAAAAAGCTAATTTTTCAAATGAATAGGCAACGTCCATCCTTTAAACACAGGTTTTGGTTTGATCATTATGCCAGCTCAAATTATAACTCCAGTACTTTCTTACATTGATTATGGTTCATGTTCAGTCTGCCAACCTCAGGACTTTGGTGTCATATCCTTTATCCTGGTTTTGTTGAACAAGACGCTGATGTCACTGTACCTTTACTGTGTTCTTACATACACAGAAGAAAAAAGTACAATAAATACTACATCTATTACATGCACCAGTGGGACTAGATGTAAAAGGGGAGCGTAGATATAACCAAAAATCAAAATTGCTTGGAATATGCCTTGTTGTTTGCACACTGCTAACACCATCTGATCTCCATCAGAGCACTGACAATATATTTTGTTAACTTGCTGCTGGCGCAATGAGGACTTTGTCAAACTGAAAAAATGTCCCACCCTTTGAAGTAGGGCTGTAAGGTTTGCAGCTTTCCTCATGGGGCTATAATTTTGGCCATATTGAACAGGAGCTGCTGCCCAACATAGAAACAGATGCTAGTGAACCATTTAATTGTAGTAGTTCAACATATCTACAGAAAACTTTGTTAGTTCCTGCGTGTTGTTGTCCAAGCTTAATCTCCCAAATTAAGAATTTCACTGGTGCCATTAGAGTTCATTGCGTCCTTATAGGAGTTCCTCCTGCACGTACCCTTTGTCTCCTCAGGACTGCTTCAGTTTCTAAAAACAGCACTTTTCTGTCGAGCCTTGAAGTGGTCATGCATCACATCTGTCTTCACCACTCCTTTCTACTTTGATGTTCCAACAATACAGAACAGTCTCCCTCGTCGGGTGCCTGACCTGGATCTGATTGTATAACACTACTGTTCTGAATGTTCTTAGACAAAATTTCCTATACTTTTTTAAAAAAATTAACCTGATCTTGAAAACTTTGTTTTTTTATTTAAAATGATATTAAACAGTGCAACCACTATATTAAATTTACCACAGGGCAAAAGTTTGCATTGGATGTTTGTTTTATAAAATGTTTTAGAATAGACACTTGTCACAGTGATGGATTGATAGTACACAGTGTTTAGTTTTATGTAGCCAGAGCAGTTTGCACAAGTTGCACAAGTATAGCAAATATTAGATACTCCGAAGACAAGGTTTTGTTTTAAGAAGACATTGTTGTGTGTTCTTAGCAAAATCAACAAAATCTTATAAAACATTTCAGGATGCACTCGTCTGTAACAGAAGCTGAATTTTTAATATCCTTGGTGTGGCAGTAGAATCAGATAGTAACAACAGAGGTACATTGATGATGCCTCCATTAGCGTCCACTACCAGCTGTTATGCTCTTCTGCTTCTGTCCCCACTCCCACTAGCACAAGACCTACCCAAGCATGTTTCAGAGTAATAAAGTGCAGTCAGTGTAAATGCATGTCTTTATTCTCTGTAACAGAGAAAGGCTTGTTCACTGCACAGTGCACTTAGAGCTTTACCCTGCAGGAGAACCATAATAAACATTAAACCAGAGCAGGAATACATATCCTTAAAGCCTCGTCTAAGAATGCTTTGTTCCAGTTCCTTATAAATGTCATATGAACAGCAGTCAGAAATGGATAGCTTTAGAACTGGCTGCTTAGGATGAACATGTGATGTGCAAAGAAAAATGGAGATAAAGGTCCCTAAAGTCAGCCTATTATTATGTGTTCTGCCATGTATGCTTTTGTCTGTCATATAATTACTGTTCCACTGCTGTTTGATCATATTAATGCTGGTCTAAATTATAAGGCTTCAGATTGCTTTAAATGCTTTGCTTCTATGTTTGAATCTTTATTCATCTGAATTCTATTCAGTTTTATTCATATAGTGCAAAATCACAACAGCAGCTGCCTCAAAGTACTTTATATTGTAAAGTAAAAACCGTATAATAATACAAAGCATATGGATCACATTTGTATGACGAATCCCTAATATGGTCATCTCAAACACATACTGTAGCTCTGGCTGAGAGAACAAAAGACCCACCCACATACTCTTTAAGCCTTTGTGAGGGGCTGCTAATTAAAAGACAGTTGGGTTAAGATATGAAATGTTAAAATGGCTTGTTTCAGACTGAGGAACTCAACCAAAACCCAAAATAAGATAAATAACAATTGCTTTGAACTGCAGATCACACAAAGCTCCTACTGTATAGAGACCACAAAAATATGGACTTTTAAGTCTATTTCATAGCAAAGATGTTCAGTAGAGTTGCATATTCTATTTTGGCTCGAACTGATTAATTCTTGGCTCTTTTTGATTCATCACAACATATATTATCTTAATTCTAAATACAATAAAATGTTACACAAAGGGACAATTTTACATCACTGGTAAATATACACTTGGCTGGTACATTTTAGCTACTGGAAACCTTTGTTGGCGAAAAGTCACTTGATGCGTAATTTGTGAGAAAAGTTCTACTTTTTCTACTCAAGATCCACTTTTCTTTTCTTGAGTTGTTGGTAAAAAATCATTCAAGTTCTCTTTGAGTTTGCATATTTTATGTGAAACGTTTTTAGGTTCACATCAGCAATAATACTGGTGTACTAACAGAAATGTATGGGAAAATAGCTCAGTAGCCTAAGGCCCATGTTTGAGCATTCAGCCAGCACCAGTTTAGGGCAGTCAGCTTAAACAGTAAACTGCTTTGATTCAGTTTTTATTGTAAATTGAATTTGGAGTACAGCAGCAATGCCCCTTTCCACTTACACGTCCTAACAAATCCAACAGGTAGAGAAGATTGTCAAAGATACGGAAAATCAAATAACAAAAATCAAACAAAACAGTGTCAAATTATATTATAACACCTTCCTGCCCCCATTTTGTCTGTTTTTTCCTAAATGAATGCAGACAGATACTTTCTTATTAGTCTCTGAACCCCTGACTGATTCTGCTGACCTTTGAAATGGCCAATAATGTTTATGCTACCTGCAATCAATTTTCTCTATAAAACAATGTCTTTAGATTTTTCAACTTTAAAACATATCAGAGGATTTTTGTGCTTCAAGTTCAGAGGTATATACTGATGTTTTATGAAAAAATGTGTGCGTATATTGATACGTGCTTACCTCTCTTCTGTAGGTAAGGTCACAAAGTGTCCAACCTAGGGACTGTACTTTTTATATTAATGAGTGAAATCTGTTGTTGGCCTCAAGGCCTTTCTGTGGTATCTGTTTTGTTTACTTTTTACTTCCTTATTATGCATACCTGTATCTGCAGTTAAACTCAGAAAGCAACTTGTCTGGATGAATGTCATGGATCGCTGTGTGGCAGGCAGGATGAGGACCCAATCGCAAAACTCACAGACTCAGGGGATGAACTCAAAAAGCAGCTTTATTGCTGACAAAGGATGACAGGAAATACAAAACTAAACTGGGAAAAACTAACAAAGCTCACCAAGGAACACAGGGGAATCACACACAGCATGAGGGAGAACGCGACACAGAACTGAGGGAGACGCAGACATAAATACACAGAGGGTTAACGAGGGAAGTGGGAGCACACGGGGAACACAGGTGACACTGATAATCATAACAAGACACGGCAGGAGTGAACACCACACTGGCGGGAGACGGGCAAAGTAAAACAGGAAGTACAGAGGTTCAGACAGGAGGAGAGAGAGCACGGGGAGAACACAGACATAACAGGCTGGGGGAAACATGGAATAAACACAAAGAGAGACAAGGGCTCATGACTACACAGAGGGGCACACAGGGGGTAAGAGTCACGAAGGGAAAACACTTAGGGAACAACACAACAGGGCAACTCAGGAAACATGGCCTAAATAAGGAACAAAATACAAAAATACATGAAAACTAAGAATACTGGGCCAACATGGCCCAGGACCATGACAATGAAATGGTTGAACGTGGCTCACAGTGTGTTTGAAGATGAAAATTATTTCAGTAAGATGACAGATTCAGGACTGGAGTGATAATATCTACCTGTAGAAATGTCTGCTTTCCCTATTTCTCATTGGTACAAATACCCATTAAATTGTTCTGCGACTTACATTGGAGACTCCTGAAGTATTCATAATGCATCATGAAAACCTGGTTAATCAGACTCTGCATGGCATAGATGTATTTTCCTTGTATTGTTTCTAGTTGCCTGCTTCCATTCCACATCACCAAAGAATTACAAATGGAGCTAGGTGCCTGTCTATTCAGAGGATTACTGAGAAGCTTCAGGTGCTCAAGAGTGGTAAAGAACTGCTTGCTAGCCAAGCCTGTCAGGTCTCACCATTGTAATTCTCTAATTGCAGAGCGCTTACGTGAGTTAGCCCTTGCTATTGTCAAACTCATGTCACAGTTGGTAGTTGCAACGGCTACCAGACGTTGCAACTACGCTACCAGACATCCAAATCTTACTGTGGTTTTCTGCAGTGCTCCATGAAATAGCTACTTCATAGCTTTATAACTTTATAACTTTATACTCTAATGTCATTTTGTGTGCTGCACTCTAGCCTGTTTTCTTTGATCTCCGATTAAATGATCAACTGGTCCTATGTGTGGCCTTTTTGATTTTATATTGTAGTATAATATAGTTTTATATCATATGGAGCTGATATATGATATATGATATCTGTAATGTCTTTTCAAAATAGATCCATGGATAATTTACTGTTTTTTGCCTCCTTTCAGATGAGATCATGCAGCAGGACATCAGGCCCCTGCTGGCCGTAGACATCATAGAGCAGCTTCACCGCCAGTTTGCCTCGCTATCTGGTAAGTAACCTGCAATGTTCTATTTGCCCTCATTCCATACCTGAAGTTCATGTTAGGCGGAGGTATTGAAACAAAACTCTGGGTGGGACAACAAATGAGCTGTTAAAAGGAGACAAACAAGGAAAAACAGGAGACACAACAAAAGTAGCAAACACAGGACAGAGTATCTGTTAACTCATGAATACTGCTATAGTACCATAACAGAAACATTAATAATCACACCATTATCATTACTAGCTACATTAAATCCACAGTTCCGTAAGTTTAAGAGAAAAACATTGCACATATTTAGTCTTTTATGGCCATTATGTAACATGGAGCACTAATTAAAGCCTTTTTCATTTTTTACCCCTGACATCCTGTTACAGTACCACTTCTCCCTGTGCCGTCATGCTTACTGTAACTAAAGCTTTGAACCCAAATTGATTTTAATGATTTTGATATTTCAAAAAACCCCAAAAACATTCTCAGCAGTTTTTTAGCTGATGTTCTATTTTTGTGTTTTGTATCACAAGTTATGCAAGTGCCAGAAGAAAGGACTTCATGTGTAACTCAGCTGCTTCACTCTCTCATGACTTTTTATTCTTCACCGAGGAAATCACAAGCAAACGGATAATATGACTTGCTCACTGATTCTATTTGTTGATGTTTTAAAAAAAGAGGAAATCTGCTGGAGTGATATGTAATCATGATTCATTTAATTCCACAAAACACAGCAGTTCACTGGAGGTTTATACATACACAGATCTTCCTGTCCACATGTTTTGGGTTTTCTTTTAATTCCCCCTGGGGATTTGGGGCTTTTGAAAGTTCATTTGGCATTTTCAAATTTGCTATGGCACTGAAACCGTATTCTCTTATTTAACAGTATTATTATATTCTGTCCTGGCATCTAGGTGCAAGTATCTGCTTTCTTGCAAACACACAAAATGGAGCTTGGTCAAAGATAGTGGATGCTATGATCTCTGGGGTTTTTTATGTTGTGCTTAAGTTGGCATTTGAATTCCTTATTTAAGATGTTCTCTGTTTGTTTTTAGGCATCCTGAGCTTTAAATAGAGTTAATTTTGCCTATATTTTCCATTTCACTGTTTCGTTATTGTTGTTACTTCCTGTTTTTATTATGGTAGTTATTTGTCTCCAGCTTTACTGCCCCACTACCTGTCTTGTTGTCCTTGATTACTTTGACCTGCATCTCCTGACTCTTCTGTATCCAGCTCCCTGATTTCCCTTTTGTCCTGACTTCGCAGCACTCTTTTCTCTACCAGCTGACCTACCAGTCTCTTCCTGCCTGTTGCCTATCTATTTTGTGGTTAAGCTTTTGATCAGTCAAACTAAAGGCTTGCCTTTTTTTATTCAATTTACATGGAAGTCTGTATTTAGCTCCTCATCTTGCAATTTATGACATGACTGGAAATCTTTATTCCGGAGTTATCTGCTAGTATAGAATAGTCATTTTTGTCTGTTTTGTTTTTAGGGTCCATTTTAATAAATATTAATTAATTTGATATAAAATTAATTTTAAGTAAGTAAAATTGTGCTAGCAATGCTACAACTGAGCTGCACATAACATGTTGTGTAATACTGATTTATTAATTCAAGATTTCATCCAACACACATCTTCCAGGGAACTGCTTCCTCCAGTTCTTTATAGGCTTCAGATAATAACATCTCAGGGAAATTGGCTGCAATAAAGATAAAGTCATAGCACAAAGAATTGTGTAAAAACTCGAGCCAATAAAAAACCAAGAATGAGTAGACCACCAGACACTTTCAAATTCTAAAATGTAATATACACATTAATGTTGTATCACCTTTTAAACTGAGAGCTCCATACGTGACATAAGAAACATGAGAAAACATAAGCATTTTGTTTGCTTTTTGATTTCTTAAAAAAATATTTGAACATTTTTTACAGCAACTTAAAGTTCAATTTGAAGCCTTAAAACATTTAAGTGCTATATGTTTCTTTGTTTCTTTGTGTTATTGAAAAGCTTTTCATTTGAGGAAGTATGGATTTGAACTTTGTTGCTGAGACTATTGATGAGGAGAACATTAGTGGATGAGCAACTCTTAAAATGAGTTACACTAAAAGTAATATGCCATACCTTTAAAATATTGAATTCAATTCTTTTTCTTTGTTTTTTTTAGTCTAATTGGCACAAACACCTAGTTGTGCAGTCTGCTGTTACAAACTCTTATGAAATAATTAACAAGAGTTGTTCTAAAGAGCTCACCAAAAGCTTTTAGAAGTCATAATAACTCACCCATGAAGTGGTGGACCATATTAATCTACAGAGAAGTGTTACAGAGATACATAGTGTGAAAAAGTCACAGACATCCTAAATTCAGTAAATGCAAAGATTCGAACCTCCTCTGGTATTAGCATCAGCACAAAAACTGCCACCAGAAGCTTCTTGGCATAGGTTTGCATGGCCAATCAGATTCTGTAGGTGTAATGCGTAGGTGGTTCACTACATGTATTTGCACATCATAGCTCACAATGATAAGCCAATGCGACCAGTTATTAACTAGCATGGAGCTGGTGGAGCATTGCTTTTAGCATCCCAGCATTCACACTTGGTGCCCTCAGACTTTTCCAGATGTGCTGTTAGTGGTGACACAGCAGTCTGTGTGGTTCTCCAGGGATGCCTCTCATTCCTTCTCTCAGTCGTCTCACCAAACAGCCAAAATAACTGTTTCCAAAAGTTCCTCTCTCAGCATTACTTGCCTTTAGAATTACATAAGGGTAACACAAGTCTGGTTCATAGTCCTCACCACATGTGTGTGCCTACTGTGAGTGTGTGTGCCTTCTCAGTAGGATCCAGGTTTAAACGCTATGATCATTTGGTTTGCTATTTTTGTCTCTCTGTATACACATTTTATATATACATGAACTGGAACCAGTGAGGGTTTCCTTTTGCCAGAGACCAGTTAGGAAGTATACCAAACAATTTCATGCCTCTTTTCTTAGAGTTTTTATGATTTTGTTTTCCCTCATGGACAGCTGCAGGATTTGTTGCTTTCTTTTGATTCTCCTTAAAAAGTAAAGGGGAAACACATCACTGAGTGGTCAGTGTAAAACCCGTCACTTTTTCTGGGTTAGATGACCTTTGCACTACTAGCAGCAGGCAAGGAGTTGCAAGCAGGAAATTGGAAACATGCACATTTCACTTACTTTTACGGCAGTAACTTTATTAGGGAGAATTAACAGAGTCTTTTATGTTCTTAGAGAGGAAAATGTATATTTTTGTGGAGTGTAAAAGGTTTTCAAAATAGTGTTTCCTTCTTTCTACAAGTTTCAGAAAGTTGATATGACTATATCTGGCAGACATAAAGCATTATTTGAGTCATTTTAATTTAATTTACACTACTGGAGCTCTGTTTTGGTTGGTTCTCCTTTGTGGGAAATATGGGTTCTATAACATCTCATAATGTTTTGGGATTTAACTAATAACACTGCAGCACTTACCTGCCTTGCCTAACAGATGTTTTTTAAATGCCAGTATCACAGATGTCAGACCATGACTCCCACTTTCTTCCCCTCCTGCAACGTGTTGAGTATAAACTTTCCATTCTCAGCAAGTTAGTTACATGTTTGTGGTTGAGAGATGCTGGTCAGACAAAATTCTAAACCAACAAAAATATCCTCAGATGTGCTGATTCAAGGTTATGCACAGCCCTTTAATGTCTGTATGAATGTCTGTAACTTTTAGCATTACAAACACTGTTAGTTTTTTTCTCAAGTAGCATGCCGTAGCAATGTTTTATTTGTCAAGCCAGCAGATTTATGGCTCATGCTCACCATCTAGTGACATTTCGAGAGATGTGCAAGTATTGGATTTTTCCAATCTGTATCTGCAACTAGAAGTGTCAAGACTACTGGTTGCACACTGGCTCCTTGTAGGGCCCTTTTATAGATCTGCAAAGGTAAAGCATACTGATGATCAAATATAGTAAGCCACAAAAGCCTTGATTACGAGACAGAATTAACAATGAGAACAAACAAGTTTGAACATACGACTGGTATTTTTAGACTTGTGTTTTGCTTAGCATTTACATTAGCCAGTTTAAGTTTATGAAATAATCATGGTTTGAGTTCAATAATTTCTTTCAAATCTTGAAACATTATTTAGATTATGGTTTAATGGTGTTTATTTCAGGTACATCTACAAAGTGTTGCAGACATTGAACAATGACACTAGAGGGTTATCCGCTGTAGTGAAATGTGACATGAAGAACATTAATTCATAGTTATATTGTGCTTTCTAGTCTTACTGACTACTCAAAGCACTTTTTTCACAATACAAGCCACATTCAAATCTCAAGAAGACTGAAGCACACAGCCTCATCCACAGCAAGGACCAGTAATTCATGAGTCAAGTATAAGACTACCCTGAGGTCTTATACTTGACTCATTGAACAGTTTGGTCTTCTTACAGTTGGCAATGAAGACAAAAAGAGTGAAAACAGTAAAACCAAATCTGTGAGAAGTGTAAATAAAATGTTATGGTTGGACATATACTAAGAACACAATGTAGTTTAACTTTAATTGAGAGCCTAAAGGAACAAACATAGTACTGAGGTGTTAGAGTTGGGGTGTTCCTCTACCATTTTACATTTAGTAGAACCACATTCCCAAAAGTCATTGCCCATTCCCCATGTCGCTAATTTCATCTGGGTGCCTGTAATACGATTCCTACTGGGAAAACAAAACAATTTCATATATTCTGATTTAAATGGTGTCTTAACTTTCATTTCAGATATCTTAAATGAAACACAATTTCATACAGCTGTGATGGAGGTTTTACAGATGTCCGCATTTAAACTTAAAGGGAATCCTTTAAGTTATCAAATGATAAAATGTCTTGCAATACAGTTACTGCAGTTATTGATTTGGGTTTATTTTTTCTGTGCTATAGGAGGGCGAGGGAAAGATGGTGCCCCCATCATCACTTTCCCAGAGTGCTCAGGCTTTAGCGAAGTGCCAGAGGAAGATTTCCTCAATGTAGTTACTTACCTGACCAGCATCCCCAGGTATGTATACTCACACACAATTAAAACTAATAACGAGAAAGATCATAAAGATAAAATTCCATTTGATTCAAAACTATCCCCACAGGATCACATTTGATCCTGGGTGCTTAAACGTCTTCACTGCTTCATCTCAACAGTAATATCATAAGGCTTTCTGGAAATTATGCTTAGTGGTGTACTAATTGTGTATTCCTTGAAATGTGGACAATTCTTGAGTTCTGTATTTTCCGGAGCCTGAAACCTTTGGGAATTTGATTAGCATGGCCTATAACTTTAAATTGTTTTCCTCCTCTCTCCAGCCTGGATGCTGCAAGCATTGGCTTCATTATCATCATCGACCGGCGGAAGGACAAATGGAGCTCAGTAAAGGCCTCTCTATCCAGGATCGCTGTAAGTTCAGTGAGATACTTAAATCACCATAGAAATATATACAAGGACCTTTTTAAAATGTTTCTTTTAACTCTTTATGTTTCCTACACAGGTGTAACAACCCTGTGAAAGCCTCATTTTCTTTTGGGCCCTTACCGTCACATTGTACCAGAGCAATGGATGGATCACAAACACATTCATTGTAGAATTCCTCATTTAACAATCAATTTCAATGCAATGGCTTGTAGTACACACCTATATCACAGCAAGAGTGCCTCTAGAATAAATCTCTTCACTCCTTCCTATTTTAAACACCATTTTTACTATCAGGCTCAGTGAGCTTGAACTAAAATGGGCAGATCTTTCACAACATGCTTCTGTAACAAACTAATTATGACCTGCAATAGTTTTATACCAGAAGAATATATTTTAGCTTGTTACAAGCAACTTACAGATAACCATGAGAATGAAAAGATGCAATATCTTATTTTAAGTTCATTTGTTATATTTTCCAGGGGGCATTCCCAGGAAATCTTCAGTTGGTGTTGGTGCTGAGGCCATCCAGGTTCTTCCAGAAGCATATAGCAGATATTGGGATCAAACTACACAAGGATGACTTCAAAATGAAGGTACCGGTAAGCATGCAGGTGTTTTATTCTGAGCCAGGGTATGGTTCTGAAACAGACACCTAAAAGAGAGACAAAAAGTATTCCCCATGATAATAGTTAGCTTTTTTGATATACTGAAAGAGAAAACATGTCATCCAAACACACAGAGATGCTATGCTTTAACACCACGAGGGATTTTTTTTCCATAGAACAATTCCTTAAATTGCATAAGGTGTGATTTTTTTTTTTTATCACAGCACAATTAAACCTAACATTTCAATAGCAAAGTAAGAAAAGCATCAAGCATGCACCACCCACCCATCCATCCATCCATCCATCCAACCATCCAACCATAACTCCATCCATCTATCAGGAAAACTACACTTTCCTCTCCCTGGCCACTTTCTCCAGTGTTTCCTGGAGGACTCCAAGCTTGCTGAGAGATGTTATGTCTCTTTTGTAGGTGTTAAACATAACTATAGCTTTTTATCCTTTGATGGGCATGTCAGTGGTATCAAAAAGATATAAAATACTGACAAAGACAGACACAGTGGATCAGTTGTCAGAGTTGTGTAACATAACCAGGTCTTCCTCAATCCACTGTTTTGTTAAGATAAACACTGTGTCACATTTTTGAGGGACTGAGCAACAGTGAGCAAAGAGGTTTGGTAGGAAAGGAAGAATGGCTGCTTTGACAGGAAAATCACACAACAGGAAAATTGCATTTATTTTTTGTGAGGGAAATCGTTTCATCATAGATCTTAGGTTTTAGCTAAACAAGATAAATAAATTATTCATGAATACAAATTTTGATACTTATTTTCAAGTCAACATCTACAAATGCATCTCATTTTTAAAAATTGTGTATGCAAATGTAGTAATAAAAACAATAACCCCTTACTTATATGGTGCCTTTCAAAGCAAAGTTTTGAAAGGTACAAAGTGTATGTCTTGTAAACCAAAATGTTTGATTTCCTATTTAGTAACTTACCAGGCAACGCTTCCCATCTTGCAACAACATTGACTATGAGAAGTTGTTCTACCAATTTTACTTAATAATAATGGAGCACGTAAAGCAATGCACTGTGTTTGCAGATCGTGATGCTGAACTCGCTGTCTGACCTACATGGCTATGTGGATAAAAGCCAGCTGACCCGAGAGTTAGGAGGAAACCTGGAATACTGTCACAGTCAGTGGATACACCACCGAACAGTGAGCACTGACTTACTGTAGCATTCAATACCAGATTTGACATTATAGCAGGTGTACAGGGAGTGCAGAATTATTAGGCAAGTTGTATTTTTGAGGAATAATTTTATTATTGAACAACAACCATGTTCTCAATGAACCCAAAAAACTCATTAATATCAAAGCTGAATGTTTTTGGAATAGTTTTATTGTTTTTAGTTTTAGCTATTTTAGGGGGATATCTGTGTGTGCAGGTGACTATTACTGTGCATAATTATTAGGCAACTTAACAAAAAACAAATATATACCCATTTCAATTATTTATTTTTACCAGTGAAACCAATATAACATCTCCACATTCACAAATATACATTTCTGACATTCAAAAACAAAACAAAAACAAATCAGCGACCAATATAGCCACCTTTCTTTGCAAGGACACTCAAAAGCCTGCCATCCATGGATTCTGTCAGTGTTTTGATCTGTTCACCATCAACATTGCGTGCAGCAGCAACCACAGCCTCCCAGACACTGTTCAGAGAGGTGTACTGTTTTCCCTCCTTGTAAATCTCACATTTGATGATGGACCACAGGTTCTCAATGGGGTTCAGATCAGGTGAACAAGGAGGCCATGTCATTAGTTTTTCTTCTTTTATACCCTTTCTTGCCAGCCACGCTGTGGAGTACTTGGACGCGTGTGATGGAGCATTGTCCTGCATGAAAATCATGTTTTTCTTGAAGGATGCAGACTTCTTCCTGTACCACTGCTTGAAGAAGGTGTCTTCCAGAAACTGGCAGTAGGACTGGGAGTTGAGCTTGACTCCATCCTCAACCCGAAAAGGCCCCACAAGCTCATCTTTGATGATACCAGCCCAAACCAGTACTCCACCTCCACCTTGCTGGCGTCTGAGTCGGACTGGAGCTCTCTGCCCTTTACCAATCCAGCCACGGGCCCATCCATCTGGCCCATCAAGACTCACTCTCATTTCATCAGTCCATAAAACCTTAGAAAAACAGTCTTGAGATATTTCTTGGCCCAGTCTTGACGTTTCAGCTTGTGTGTCTTGTTCAGTGGTGGTCGTCTTTCAGCCTTTCTTACCTTGGCCATGTCTCTGAGTATTGCACACCTTGTGCTTTTGGGCACTCCAGTGATGTTGCAGCTCTGAAATATGGCCAAACTGGTGGCAAGTGGCATCTTGGCAGCTGCACGCTTGACTTTTCTCAGTTCATGGGCAGTTATTTTGCGCCTTGGTTTTTCCACACGCTTCTTGCGACCCTGTTGACTATTTTGAATGAAACGCTTGATTGTTCGATGATCACGCTTCAGAAGCTTTGCAATTTTGAGACTGCTGCATCCCTCTGCAAGATATCTCACTATTTTTGACTTTTCTGAGCCTGTCAAGTCCTTCTTTTGACCCATTTTGCCAAAGGAAAGGAAGTTGCCTAATAATTATGCACACCTGATATAGGGTGTTGATGTCATTAGACCACACCCCTTCTCATTACAGAGATGCACATCACCTAATATGCTTAATTGGTAGTAGGCTTTCGAGCCTATACAGCTTGGAGTAAGACAACATGCATGAAGAGGATGATGTGGACAAAATACTCATTTGCCTAATAATTCTGCACTCCCTGTATGGTGAGCTAGATTAGAGGACATTGCAGAGTAACATGTGAGTCTGTTTCCATAGGCCATAGAAAATTTTGCCATGACAGTGAAAACCACAGCCCAGATGTTACAGAAGTTCGGAACAGACCTAGCAGAGACAGAGCTGCCCAATGACGTTCAGTGCACCAAAGACCTCCTTACAGCACACACCGACAAACACAATAATCTCAAGGTAATGTGGTGCATTAAATATGCTAGGACACACACACACATATTAACATGAGACAAAGCAAGTATTTTTACACTAGTATATCTGGTTAGCACTGGTGCCTCACAGCAAGAAAGTCTTGAGTTCAATTCCACCATCACGCCATGGTCTTTCTGTGTGGAGTTTGCATGTTCTCCCGGGTTCTCCGGCTTCCTCCCACAGTCCAAAGACATGCAGTTAGTGGGGTTAGGTTAACTGGAAACACTAAATTGCCCGTAAGTGTGAATGCAGGAGTAAATGTGAGTGCAATTTGCTGTTAGCCCTGCAACAGACTGGCGACCTGTCTAGGCTGTACTCTGCCTCTCGCTCTAAGACAGCTGGGATAGGCTCCAGCCTTGGAATATTCTACGTGACTGACTTGACCTACTTCAAATATCAGTTTTAAATGCAAAAGTGTAGATGTCTTTAATCATCTACTACATGTACTTGGATATTTCTGCTGAAATAGGAACTTGCACAGATTTACAAAAGTTTCTCTATGATATTAATGTTCTGTGATATTAATGCTTCTGTTTCTGTGAATCAGGATGAACTGAGGCTAGCTGTGAAGCAAGGCACCACCTTGTATAGTTGTATAAAAGATCAGTCAGCCAAGTCAGAGGATCATGAACTCAACCCTGATGAGATGGAAAACCAAACTACTGTGGAAAGGTAACAAACAACAAAGACTCCTTTATAGATGTCATGCACACTGTATATTGTTATGTATTTTGAGCAATTATGTACCAATTCTCATTACATTTGTAATCTGTGTTTTAGGCTTTTGGCCCAGCTAGATGAGACAGAAAATGCCTTTGAACAGTTCTGGAGCAAACACCATCTGAAACTGGAGCAGTGCCTACAGTTGCGTCACTTTGAGCAGGACTTTAGAGAGGTAAAGTATGCCATTGCCATGCAGCCTTTGGTTTTTCATGTGAGGTACTGCAAGTAGACCAGTGGAAAGGGCAATGTTCGCATCTTCACATATTACAATGAGTGTATGTCCTCTACATTTCTAAAAATGTTTTTTTTAATATCACATTTTTATGAACCAACTTGATCTTGGGATAATTTAATGCAGAGAGAACAGGGATGAGTGAATATTTCATTTTTACAAATAATGTTTTGCAGAGGTGGCCCCTTGCTGTGTGTGTTCCCTCCGCTCTCTCCCCACCGATGCGTACACTGTCCGGTCTCGTGGTGTTCGCTGTGTCGAATCTAGCGTAGAATACGTTTAGATCCTCACACAGAGGCCGTGGTGTGCTGATTTTCCCCTCTTTAGTCTGTGAATGTGTTTAGTCCCTGGCACATTCTCCCACGATTGTGAAATTGCTGTTCCACTTTGTCCCTGTACTCCCATTTGGCTGCTTTAATGAGTTGGTAATTTGCGTGTTTGTAGTCCGATGTGTTTGCGGAGGCAAAAGCAGTGTTCCCTGCCGCCAGTGCAGTGCAAACATCACTCTTAATCCACGGTTTTTGATTTGGGTAGACTTTTAACTGTTCTGGGTGGGACGACATCTTCCACGCATTTTCTGATAAATCCGTAGACTGAGTTTGTGTCCTCATTGATGTCGTCAGCAGCCATGTGAAACATTCCCCAGTCCGCGTTATCAAAACAGTCCCACAACATGGACTTTGATTGGTCCGACCAACAGTATAAACGCCGCCTCTGGGTGTGCGGTTTCCTTACTGCTAATCGCGCTGTACAGTTCTCTGCTTGTTCGATCAGTGTCGGCTTGTGGGGGGATGTAAACAGCCATAATAATGACTGCTGTAAATGCTCTCTGTAGCCAGAATGGCCAGCACTTAATCATCAGGTACTCCAGGTCCAGTGAGCAGAAGGAGTTAACCGGGTGCACGTTGGGACAGTCACATCAGCTGTTGTTGATGCACACACCACCGCCTCTGCCTTTCTCAGTTTGCTCCTGTGACCAATGCGCTGCCCGGAACCCCGGTAGTTGTATGGCGGAGTCCGATAGCCAGGTTTCTGTGAGGAAGATCACGCAGCAATCCCGCATCTCTCACTGGAATGAGATCCGTGTCCGAAATTCGCACTGCTTGGTCTCCAGAAACTGCACAATAGCCTGTAATAAACTGGAGAGCGGTGGTCTGTTAGTGCACCATCTCAGTCGAACCAGAACGTCGGATCTTCTGCGTCGGCGTTTGCGGCCTCCTCCACGGGGCCAGAACAAAGGTGTCTCAGGCAAGATGAATGGGGGGTTGCAAACTTGAACTCAGGTAAACGATAAGAAAATTCAGCTCTCAGGCCCCCTCCTTGATTCAGAGATGGTCTTTCCCTTTTCACGTAAATGGCCTCCTTGACTCCACGCTCAAACCAGCGTTCCTCCCTGTCCAGGATGTGTACATCCTCATCCTTGAAACAGCGTCAACTGGCCTGTAGGTGTAAATAGACTGCAGAGTCCTGGCCTGACGAGGCAGCTCTTCTGTGTTGTGCTAAAGGGTACATCTTTCGCCATCTTACAATGCTGTGATTGCAGCCATTCCCCAACTCTCTGTGAATGGTACTCATGGCCATTGATCAGTGAGCTTTGATCAGTGGGTTTTGGTCAGTGGTTGTTGATCAATGGTCATGAGAATTTGCATAATTAAGATTAAGGAACTGACCTCCCAGCTCATTGTTCCTTCAGGTTCAGTCATTATGCAAATGTACTGTTTATAAGATTGGGGAAACCTGCAGTCAGCTGAGACTGAAGAAGTGACTTAGATGAGTGACGAAACGTTTCTCCCACAAAACGCTACGTCCATTTAGTTCCTTTTATTCGGTAACTAGCCAGAAAGTAAAAAGCAAGAATGCAGTGAATGAGTGAGCGGAGATGAAAAACTATGGGGACAGCAGGGCAGATACCAGTTTCTTTGGTCACAGCTTACATCACTGGCACGTCTCCAACCTCCTAATAAAATAGAACTGTTATTCTCAGCAGTCATCACAGCTTCTTCTGGTGTAAAGCCAAAGACACCTTTTGCATAATGATAAAATCCAAGTGCCTTCAGAGGGCTATGCATATACATTCATAATACAGAGACAGACATCACTTACTGCTATCAGTCAACATGATTAAACTAAAGGCCTTCTATTTTTATGTTTTAGATTAATTAAACACACGAAAACAGCAACAATAAAGGGAAATATTAACACCATGTGCCCCAAAACCTTAATACCCCC